TTGGAAGACTTTTCTGACTGCTTCTATTTTGATAGGGGTTATAGGTGTATTTAAGTTATTTATCTGTTCTTGATTTAATTTTGCTAATTGATATCTATCCAGAAAATTGTCCATTTCCTTTAAATTTTCCAATTTTCTGGAGCACAGGTCTTCAAAGTATGACCTGATGAGTCTGTTGTTATGTCCCTCTTTTCATTTCTGAGTTTGTTAATTTGCATATTCTCTCTTTGTCTTTTGGTTAGGTTGGATAAAGGTGTGGCTATCTTGTTGACTTTCTCAAAGAACCAACTCTTTGTTTCAATGATTCTTTGTATTGTTTTCTTTGTTTCAACTTTATTGATTTCAGTTCTCAAAATTGCCTATTTTCTGGCGTCTACTGCTTCTAGGTAAGTTTTCTTCTTTTTGTTCTAGAGTTTTCAGGTGTTCTGTTAGTTCTCTACTGTGGCTATTCTCCAGTTTCTACATGTGGGCACGTAGTGCTATGAAATTTTCTCTTAGCATTGCTTTCAGAGTGGCCCATAAGTTTGGGTATGTTGTGCCTTCATTTTCATTGAATTTTAGGAAGTGTTTGATTTCTTTCTCTATTTCTTCCTTAACCCAGGAGTGATGCAACTGAGCATTGTTCAATTTCCATGAATTTGTGGGGTTTCTGCAAGTTGTGTTGTTGTTAAATTCTAATTTTAAACAATGGTGGTCTGATAAGATACAGAGGCTTATTCTAATTTTTTATATCTCTTGAGGTTTGCTTATTGCCAAGCATGTGGTTGATTTTAGAGAAGGTTCCATGTGGCACTGAGAAGAAGGTATAATCTTTCGTGTTTGGATGGAATGTTCTATAGATGTCTTTTAATACCAATTGGGTCAAAACTTCTGTTAGTTCCTTTGTTTCATTTCTAAGATTCTGTCTTGTAGTCCTGTCCATTGGTGAGCATGGGGTGTTGAAGTCTCCCAATATAAGTGTGTGGGGTTTAATTTGTGATATGAGTTTTAGTAATGTTTCTTTTATGAATATGGGTGCCTTTGTATTTTTAGCATAGATGTTCAGAATTGAGACTTCATCCTAAGGATTTTCCTATGATGAATATGAAGTGATCTTCTTCATCTCTTTTGATTAATTTTTGTTTTAAGTCTAATTTTTTAGATGTTATGACAGATACACCTGCCTGCTTGATAGGTCTATTTGATTGGAAAATCTTTTCCTAACACATAACTCTGAGGTAACAACTGTCTTTGAAGGTGAGATGTATTCATTGTATGCAGCAGAGAGGTGAACTGTTTCTTCATATAAATTCTGTTAGCTTGTGTCTTTTTATAGGTAAGTTAAGACCATTTATATTGAGGGATAGTAACAGCCATTGATTGTTGATTCTTGCTTGTTTTGTATTTGTTTTTGGTGGTCGTATTTTGTGTGAGTTTTCCCCTATTTCTGTCTTTGGTAAAGTGAGGTTATATATTGCCTTATGTTCTTGTGAGTGTAGTTGATTTCCTTGGGTTGGAGTTTTCCTTTCAGGAATTTATGTAGGGCTGGATTTGTGGATATGTATTGTGTAAATCTGGCTTTGCCTGGAATATCTTGTTTTCTCCATCTACAGTGATTGAGAGGTTTTCTGGGTATAATAGTCTGAGCTGGAGTCTGTTGTCTCTTCCTGTTTGTAGAACATCTATCCAGGACCTTCTGGATTTCAGAGTTTCCATGGAGAAATCAGGTATAATTCTGATAGGATTTCTTTATTGTTACTTGGACTTTTTCCTTTGCTGCTCCTAACATTTTTCTTTATTCTGTATGTTAGTTGTTTTTGTTATTATGTGACAAGGGGACATTTTTTGGTCTAGTCTATTTGATGTTAATTAAGGTTCTTATACTTTCATAGGCATGCCCTTCTTCAGATTGGGAAGGTTTTCTTCTATGGTTTTGTTGACTGTTTTCTGCACCTTTGAGCTGGGCTTCTTTGCCTTCATCTATTCCTATTATTCCTAGGTTTGGTCTTTTCACCATGTTCCATATTTCCTTTTTATAAAAGGATTTGTTGGAGTGAAGCTTTTCTTTGAATGATGAATCTATTTCCTCTACTTTATCATCAGCGCCTTAGATTGTGTCTCCCATCTATTGTAATATATTGGTTATGGTTGAACCTATAGTTCCTGATCATTTACTCAGATTTTCTATTTCCAGCCTCCCTCAGTTTGTGTTTTCTTTATTGTCTCTATTTCCATTTTCATGTTTTCAACTGTTTGAACTGTTTCCTTCATCTGTTTGATGTTTTTTCTTGGCTTTCTTTAAGAGATTTGTTGATTTCTTGCATTTTGGTTTGTTTTTTCTTCTATTTCTTTAAGGAACTTTCGCATATTTTTGAGGGCCCCTATCATTTGCATGAGGTTGTCTAGAAGGTCATTCTCTTCTGTTTCTTCTGTGTTGGGATGTTTAGGTTTTCCTGGCTTGGAATCCCTAAACTCTGGTGGCATCATATTGGTTTTTCTGTTGTTGACTGTTTTTTATACTGTCATCTTCCCAACACTTCTTCCAGTGTGACCTTGTGGAGTCTCTTCTTCTCCTGGTGAATATGGGTCTAAGGTTGTCTTCCAGTGGGTTCAAGCAGGTTCAATACTCCAATGGGTGAAATTAGGTCTGAGACACTCTAGGCAAAGGCAGGCACAGGAAGATCCAAGAAGTTGTATGTCAGGAATTGGGGCCCCAAGTGGAGTCAACACTCACCTCAAGCAGAGGGCAGGAGGCTGAGTAAGGCCATGTCAGAGGTGTGTCCAGATTAAGGGTGGTCATTTCTGTTGGGTTGTGTCTACTTTAGGCATGTAGCAGGCCCAGGTATATCCAATCAAGGGGGTGTTGTGAGTTGGGGACCTGATCAGAGCCCACACTTACCTCAAGCAGAGGTTCCCTAAGCAGTCTCAAAAGGGGCTGCTTTACTCTCCATTGGGATTAAAGACTATTTGTGTGGGAACTAGCATACTGTTTTTTCTGGAAAGTGAGACTGCTTTCTGCAATTTCATATCAGGTGTCTTCTGGTCATATGGAGTGATGCAAGCACCCTACAACTTCATCAGGTTTTGAGTCTAGTGTCTTTAAATCCCGAACCATTTCATCAGTTGTTGGTACTTTCTTAAATATTATTATTTAATAAATATGAGTGCTAGATAAAACATTTCTTGAAGGCATTTGGATTTTATCCTGCTGTTTTTAAAGAGCCAGGACTGATGAGGTGGTTCAGTGTTTAAGCATGATTTCTATTTTTTTAGAGAACCCCCATTTAGTTCCCAGGTCCCATAAGATTACTTGCAACCATCTATAACTCCAATTCTATGTAGCAAAACAGCTATCAAGTAAGAACAATAGTGACAATATTTAGTCCTTTAACATATAGCTATATTTAGAGAACATATTCCATCACTTATCCTGTCCCGGCGCTACCGTCTCGCCAGCAAGAACGACACAGAACACTCGGATCCTTCTGCAGTAAAGCTTTAATGCATCTTGAGAGATAGATGATCAGCTTCTTAGAGGGAGACCCCAAGCTAAGAAACCCAGCCCCTTATATAAGCCTAGGAGCTCCGAGTGAGACGTGTAGAGCCGGGATTGGTGGTTTGCACATCACCCCAGATGACGCCACGGGAGAGGCACAGCTTAAACGGTTAACTCCAACTGACAGCAGATGTCAGCGCCATCTTCTAACGGCAATAGCGATAGCGAGGGCGGCTCCTCACATTATCCTATCTTTGTGAGTCTAAAGTTTTAAATGTAACTTATTCTTCATTATAACTTTGAAAATCATAACCATGACTATCTGTCTTCAGTTCTATCAAAGGCCACAGAAGGATAATGTAGAAACTCTAGAACTGACAAGGAAATCACACGCTTGCACTTCCTTCCTACGCTAGCATTCTTATTTTTGTTCTCACATCTTTGATGAAGTTGAAGATTAGACAATCACAGTGGCATCCTATCTTATCTTAGATAGACAAGATTTAACTTTCCAGATTTCTTTCAGAGTAATCTCTCTCATGCCTTTATGCCTTTACCCTGATACTGGATACTGGATATGTATACTGGACATATATATATATATATATATATATATATATATATATATATATGTGTGTGTGTGTGTGTGTGTGTGTGTGTGTGTGTGTGTGTGTGTATACATACATTGTTCTCACTGATAGTAGGTTTCAATTAGTGTATGTTTACCTTTCCTTTTCCTGGAGTGTATTTCACATTTGTTATCATTGTATATAGTTTTTGCATCAGGTTAAAACATTCGTCTTCAGACTAAAAGGGGAATTGTAAGCATCTGGTTTGTGGACCTGTAATGGAGGCCACACCCCTTTGGGTGTGGGTTCAGGTAGAGGGAATTAGAAAGAGAGGGGCTTGAGGCATGGCTTTCCTTTATGTTCTCTATCTGTTGGTTCAGCGGATCTGGTAGGAAGAGCAGGGAAATGCTCCAGAATTCTTTGTATTTTTCTGTGTAATTGCTTCCCAATAAACACACATTCATCATTTATCTTGGGTTTAGTGATATTATTACATCCTAATTATATCCTCACATTCAATTCCAATAGATTCTAAGCCCTTTTCATGTCTGTGCAAACACTGCACCCATGTGGTGCACATACATACATACATACATGCATGCATGCATACATACATACATACATACATGCATACATACATACATACATACATACATACATGCATACATACATATATAAATACATGCCAGCAAACATTCATACACATGAAATGAGGTTTAAAATGTTTTAAAACTGTTGGTAGTAATGGTATATAGTTTTTTCCTCTAAAGAAACAAAAAATGAGATATCTTATACAATGTCATAATTGTATTTAGATGTATCAACTTGACATCCATTACCTTCCTCAAAGTAAATAGTATCTTATATTGGGATAAGAATAAATATTCATGAGGTAGTAAGTTCAGTAGTCACTTCCTTTTTCTCCCCTATCTCCACAGTGACTTACGGATCTTGGTTTGATCACATCCTTGGATGGTTAACAAGAAGAAACACAGAGAATTTCCTTTTAATGTCCTATGAGGAGCTACAAAGGGTAATTTACCTTTCCTGGGCTTACTACCATTCTCCTATCTGCATTTGCTTCTTTCCTTTCTAGATCTCTAGGGGTAAACAATCAAGTAAGGCATCAATCAGGAAACAGTCATAGTGAGAATCTGTTGTCAACTTGACACACCTGGAAAAGAGACTATTAATGGAGAAAATGCCTATACTGGATGTCTGTTGGAGCATTTTCTTGATTAATAATAAATGATTAATGTAGGGGAGCTGAGCCTCTCTGGGCACTAGATACATAGGCAGGTGAGCTTGGGTTGTTTAAAAAAGTTAGCTGAGCAAGCCAGAGGGAGTAAGTTAGTAAGCAGCATTCCTTGGTGGTCTCTGCTTCAGGTCCTGCCTCAACATGATTCCCTGGATTCTCTTAATGATGCTCAAAACACATAGTTGGATTCATGACTCCTCCTCTAGGTTGTTATTCTTCATGATTTTATCATGGAAACAGAAAATCAATCTGAAACAAAGAGGGTGTGTAAAACATAACCGTTTATTGTCTACATAACCTCAACAAGTTTAAACCCATCCTGTGAATCACTGTTTTCCTAAAACTACAAAAAGAGTAGCTTTCAACCAGCACAATAAAATGCCAAAAGTCTAGAGGAGTGAATGTCATGGGATGTTTTACTGCTGTCTAGTGTTCAACCTCCAGAAATACAGGGCTTTGACCGGAATCCATGGAGCTAGAAAGCATAAATGACCTCTTCTATCTGAGGAGGTTTAGGGAAAAAGGAACTCACAAACTCTCTTGATGGTTTCCTTCGTTATTCTCCTCTTTCTTTATTTTCTCTCCTTATTCTCATCTGGTATCTAAAGTTTTTTCATAGCTTTTATACCACAATAGCATCTTCCTGGAAATACATTGGTCAAAATATTTGCATTCCATTTATCAAGGGAATGAATATAGGTAAAAAAGGAGGTTCTATATCTCCCTCATATGATTAAGCATTTTATGATTGGTGAAAAAGAAGTTATTCCAACAACTCACATAAATTCATAGCCAAGCAACTTGAAACAGATTAACAATTTTGCAAGCAAGGTTTTCTTGTCAAGTTTTTTACTGGCATGCTGCATCTTGCAGTTATAAAGAGCAAATGTCTTTATTTACTTATTGTGAAAGTTAATCTGTTTTTTCTTTCTTTTTTCTTTTTATTACTTTAATTTTAAATAACTTGCTTCACATGTCAATCACAGTTCCCTCTCCCTGCCCTCCTCCCACAGTCCCCCCACCATCCTGCCAGCCACCCACCCCATCCTTAAATCCTTCCACATAGGGGATTTCCAGAGGTTGCCATTTCATTCAGGGCAGGGGCCAGGCACTCCCTTAAGAGTCCAGGCTGAAAGAGCATCCCTCTTTGTGTTATGGTCACACAAAGTCCATTTGTATGCCAGGGATAAACACAGATCTACTGACCATGGCCCCATAGGTTACCCAGGCCTCCTCACTGACTCTCACATTCAGGGAGTTTGGATCAGTCCCATGCTGGCATCCCAGTTGTCAGCCTGGTGTCCAAGAGTTTCCCTTGTTCAGATCAGTTGTCTCTGCTGGTTCTGCCAGCACATTTTTTTTTGCCAATTTGCTCATGGCTCCTCTCTGTCACTGGGTTCCATGGGTTCAGTTCGATGTTTAACTATGGGTGCATGCCTCTGCTTCCGTCAGTTAATGGATGAAGGTTCTAGGAATGCATATAGTGTAGACGTCAAGTTCGTTATCAGGAATAAGCATTTAAGGTGGTCACTCCACTACTGCTTAGCTTTCCAGTTGGTGTCATCCCTTTCAATCTCTAGAGGTCTCATTGGTGCTACATTTGTTTTGTAACCTATGACTCCCTTTTGATGGTATTTCTCATCCTGTTCTCCCACTATCCTACCCCCCATTCAACCTTCCTGTTCCCCCATGACCTACTCTCTAATCCTCTTCTCCCCCTCTCTTCTTCCTAGCTCCTACCCCCACCCATTGCCGTGTTCCCAATCTGTTCAGAATGTCTTGCCTTATTCCTCTTCTTTGGGGTACCATGCATATCTCCCTTAGGTTTTTTCCTGTTTCCCAGACTCTCTGTCAGTGGAAGTGCAGACTGGCACTATCCTGATCCATGTCTAAAATCCAGATATGAGTGAGTACATACCATGTTTGTCTTTTTGTGACTGGGTTACCTCCCTCACTCAATATGGTTTCTTCTACTGCCATCCATTTACCTGCGAATTTCAAGATTCCATTGTTTTTTCTGCTGAGTAGTAGTCCATTGTGTAAATGTACCACATTTTCTCTATCCATTCTTCAGTCGAGGGGCATCTAGGTTGCTTCCAGGTTCTGGCTATTATAAATAATGCTAGAATGAACATAGTGGAGCTGACATCTTTATTGTATGAATTTGCATCTTCTGGAAATACTCCTAAGAGTGGATTTGCTGGATGTTGTGGTAGCCTCATTCCCATTTTCATGAGGAATCTCCATACTGATTTCCAAAGTGGCTGTACGAGTTGGCACTCCCACCAGGAGTGGAGGAATGTTCCTCTCTCTCCACATCCTCTCCAGCATAAATTGTCTTCTGTGTTTTTGATTTTATCTATTCTGACAGGAGGAAGATGGTATCTCAATGTTGTTTTGAGTTGCATTTCCCTGATGGCTAAGGATGTTGTGCACTTTCTCAAGTGTCTCTCAGCCATTTTAGACTCCCCTATTGAGAATTCGCTATTTAGTTGTGTACCCCACATTTTATTGGATCCTTTGGTGTTTTGGAGACTTGCTTCTTGACTTCTTTGTAAACTTTGGAGATCATCCCTCTGTTAGGTGTGGGGTTAGTGAATATCTTTTCCCATTCTGCGGACTGTCTTTTTGTCTTGTGGACTGTACACTTTGTCTTACAGAAGCTTCTTAGTTTCAGGAGGTCCCATTTTTAATTGTCGATCTCAGTCTGTGCTACTGGTGTTATGTTCAGGAAGTGGTATCCAGTACCTACTAGTTGAAGAGTATCTCCCACTTTCTCTTTTAGGAGCTTCAGTGTGGTTGGATTTTTGTTGAGCTCTTTGTTCCATTTGAACTTAAGTTTTGTGAAAGGTGATAGACATGGATCTATCTGCAATCTTCTTCATGCCAATACCTAGGAATGCCAGCACCATTTGTTGAAAATGATTTCTTCTTTCCATTGTATAATTTTAGCTTCTTTGTCAAAAATCAAGTGTTCATAGGTGTGTGGGTTAAAATCAGCGTTTTCAATTCAGTTCCATTGGTCTGTTTATTTTTGTGCCAACACCAAGCTGTTTTCAGGACTATAGCTCTATAATAGAGCTTGAAGTCAGGTATGGTGATGCCCTGAAGTTCCTTTATTGTATAGGGTTTTTTGGCTATTCTGGGTCTTTTGTTTTTCCATATAAATTTGATTATTGTTCTTTCAAGATGTGTAAAGAATTGTTCTGGAGTTTTTGTAGGGATTGCATTGAGTCTGCAGACTGGTATTGTCAAGATTGCCATTTTTATTATGTTGATCCTACCAATCCAGGAGCATGGAGATCTTTCCATTTTCTGGTATCCCCTTTGATTTCTTTCTTTAGAGACTCAAGTTCTACATATACAGGTCTTTCACTTCTGTGGTTAATATTATCCCCAGATATTTGATGCTGTTTATGGCTATGTAAAGGGTTATGTTTCTCTGATTTCTTTCTCTGCACTTTATCATCTGTAAATAATAGGGCCACTGATTTTTTAGTTAACCTTATATCCTGCAACTTTGCTGAAGGTGTTTATCAGCTCTAGGAGTTCCCTTTCGGAGTTTTTCAGGTCACTTATGTAGACTAACATACCATCTGCAAATTGTGAAAGCTTGACTTCTTCTTTTCCTATTTGTATCCCCTTGATCTCCTTTTGTTGTCTTATTGCTCTAGATAGAACTTCAAGTTCAATATTGAAGAGATATGGAGAGAGTGGACAGCCTTGTCTTGTTCCTGATTTTAGAGGATTTGTGTTGAGTTTCTCTCTATTTAGTTTGATGTTAGCTGTTTGTTTACTGTATATTGCTTTTCTTATGTTCAGGTATGGTCCTGTTATCCCTGATCTCTCTAGGACTTTTATCATGAAGGGGTGCTGGATTTTGTCAAAGGCTTTTTTGGTATCTAATGAGATGTTCCTGTGGTTTTTCTTTCAAAGTGTGTTTATATGGCAGATTACACTGATAGATTTAGATTTTCTAATGTTGAACCATCCCTGTATTCCTGGGATGAAGCCTAGTCGATCATGGTGGATGAACTTACTGATGTGTTCTTGAATCCGATTTTCTCATATTTTCTTGAGTATTTTTGCATCGATGTTCGTCAGGGAAATTGGTCTATATTTCTCTTTCTTAGTTGTGTTTTTATGTGGGCTGGGTACCAAAGTAAGTGTAGCCTCATAAAAAGAATTTGGCAGTGAGTCTCCCACTTCTGTTGTGTGGAATACTTTAAGGAGTATTGGAAATTGGAATTAGCTCTTTTTTGAATTTCTGGTAGGATTCTGCACAGAATTCATCTGGACCTGGCCTTTTTTTTTGTTGGGAGACTTTTGAAGATTGCTTCTATTTTATTAAGGGTTATAGGTCTGTTTAGATTTTTTATCTGTTCTTGATTTAATTTTGGCAAGTGATATCTATCTAGGAAATTGTCCATTTCCTTTAAATTTTTGATTTTGTGGAGTACAGATTTTCAAAGTATGCCCCGATGATTCTCTGGATTTCCTCAGTGTCCATTGATATGTCCCCCTTTTCATTTCTGATTTTGTTAATTAGCATGATCACTCTCTGTCTTTTGGTTAGTTTGGACAGCGATTTGTCGATTTTGTTGATTTTCTCAAAGAACCAACTCTTTGTTTCATTGATTCTTTTTGTTTTAGAGCATTCAGTAGTGCTATTAATTCTCTAGTGTGACTGTTCTCCAGTTTCTTCATGTGGGCACTTAATGCTGTGAACTTCCCTCTTAGCACTGTTTTCAGAGTGTCCCATAAGTTTGGTTATG